CCTAATTCTCTTTCATCTCCATGAAATAAAAAGCCCTAAGTTTAAAAAACAAAGACAAAGTGGGCATACTTCACGGGTGTTACTATCACCAGCATTCTTTTCTGGCCCTGTTTCAATCTCTGTCTGCTTACTTGTGAACGAGGGGCTGCGGTCTGAAGGTTAACATAACCTCGATGACAGGCAAGAAGCTCCTTGGAGATTGACTGGGCTTGTGCAACAGCTCCCTAACCAGGGCTGCGCTTTCTTCTTTGCTTTGCTGCTTCTCTAACTCTCTTTTCAAACAGAAAAAGGGAAAAAAAGACAGAGAGAGAACGCCTGCTAATGCATCATTTATAAATTACCTTGTTATGGCAAAAACAAAACAGCGCTTTGAAAACCAAACAGACGCCTGCTGCAGACCCCAGCCCGTTTGATGGAGGCCCTTCAAAAGAGTCCCCGGCTTGGCGGAGGCTGTTTACGTGGAGACTTCGATCGGTACCTGCTGTCCCCCGTCACTCCCTGGAAACTTGGCGGCAGATGCTGCCGCGTTCAGTTGTCTCTGAAGTGGCTCTCCGTCCTCGTCTCCCCACCGCCACGGAGTCAAACTGCATTAGATCTCTTTATTCGCGCCTAAGGCAAGTTCGGGATCGCAGCTGGGTCCACCCCCTGCTCCTACCTTTGGTGTTTCAGGCCTGCAGGCAGCGAGAGGGAGACCAAAACGGTGCTGCCGCTCTCAACTACCTCCGCTGACAATCCGGCCGCTCGCTGCGGGCCGGGGGAGGCCGCCGCCGCCGCCGCGGCCAACAGATGTCGGCGACAACCTGCGAGCTCACACCTGGACGCGCCGGCCGCACCTCGCGCCCGCGCGCTGAAACATTCATGACTCCGAGGACCCGCGGCCGCCATCAAAGCCCGGCCCCCGGGCCGCCCGCAGCCCCGCCGCCCCGCCGCCTGGCGGGGGCTGGCGGCGCCCACAGGTAGCCGGAGCGCGGGGGCCGAGCCGGAGGTGCCAGGCGCCGCTTTGATACTCGAGGCCTGAACTTCAGCTACTTGATCAAGGGCTTCAGCTCGGCCGCGGATGCTGCCACTGAGCCCGCTGCGGCCTCGGAGCCATGAAAGGAGAGCCATTTGGCTGGAAATTCAGCCTGACGGGCCTTGCCGGGGAAATGTGCGTGACTCCGGGTGTGGTTCTACGCGCGCGGGTGTGTTTATGAAACTAGACTCTCAAGAGGCAGAGTCTGCAGTAAACAATTTATAAATCCATGACAGGATGGGTTTTCAGGGTGGAAAGCCGCGCTGTTGACTAAGGGGAGGTGGTGTTATTTTGGAACCATCAGCCACAATCTGAAAACAATGGTGTTTTATTCTCTCAGGCAGTTTTGTTGTCTTTTTTTACCCCCCAAAGAAAGAGCGTGACTATTACTTTTTTTAAAATTGAGAAATGAGAAAGCGTTCTCATTTGTTTCTTGACAATATACAGCAAAACTGCATCCATGCCCAGCGAAATGAAAATGTTTCCAAAAGTCCTCCTAATCTCTGCAATGTACAAATTGCTTTAAACACACACACACACACACACACACACACACACACACACCTCTTATACCATTATGCACACATGTCACAAGAAGCATAGTCAAAAGTAAACACACTCAAACCTTTACAAGGACAGAAAAATCACAAAATTATTTGCAAAATTTATTTACCAGTTTGTTGATAAGGATAAGTTTTTCTTAAAAAGAACTGGCCTTGAACAGCTAATATATATTCCAATGAACTATTCGATATGCAGAGACAAATCTTTTTAGTGGGAAGCAATATTGATACATATATATACCTATATATACTACATATATAGTACATACATATTTAAGAAATATTTCATGAGTTGTCCGAGTAGTCAGAGATCTGTATTTTAACTTAATTTTATCAAGTACTGATTGGTTTCAGGGGAGTCAAGTTGAAGATAGAATTTTATCCTTCCTTGTGCTGGCGGAGCCTAGTCATAGGTAAATCTAGCTATCTAAATGTGTCACAAAAAAACCTCCAAGACTAATTTTCTCATTAAGTGATTATACCCCCGCTTGCCTAGGAAATCCAAAACTAAGAATAGGCAGAAAACTAGAGGACATTGCTACTTGGACATCTTCATCTTCTAAATTTAAATTTTCCTCTACTCCATGTAATCCTATGAGATAAACCATATCTATATAAACGACGTTGATAAAAACCTTGGAGTTCAGACAGTTTAATTTTTGAGAGCTTACCTAACTAGCCACAATAAATAGAAGGTTACAGTGAACCATGGTCTTCTTCTCCTGCACAGATAATTACGAAAGCAAAGCATCCCATCTTACTATCATACATAAAAATTTAGCTGTGCCAAATATGTTCTGTATCACTTATTCTCCTCCTACCTCTGGGTCTTCAATTTCTTACTAGGTAAATTAAGTTTCTCAAATGAAAGTTATTCTAAAGCAAAAGAAAAGTACTGGAATTTTTAAAATATTATATGATCTTTTTAAAAAATAAACTCTATCAAATAAAGAGGACCTGGTAGATGATACAATGGTGACAGAAACTCAGATATTCTTAATAATCTTTATGAAACATGAAAAATGGGGAAATGAGAAATAAAAAGAGGGGAGGGCAAAAATTTCCCAGGCTGTCTAAAGGGAAAAAGTTATATGCTGTAAACTATAGGTCTGACATCAAACCCTAGTCTATAAAAATAATAAATATAAAATATCATAGCAAGAATTAGAAGTAAGAAAAAAGTCATGTCAAAATTACTTGATTCCCAGGACCAAATAATTTTGCATCACTGATTTGATTGAATGGGAGAATACAGAAATATAATTATACCTTAAATACAGAAAATTAATAAAATTTATTAAATATCCTTGTGAATAAGATGGTAAATTGAGTTAATACTATTGGTGGGCTTCTACCTTTACCATATTCATTTTAATTAACAGTGTGGAGTGTCAATCTGTGTGGAAGGTGCTCATGGAGTACCCCACTGAGGTCTGAACTTGAACTAAGTGACAAAAATTTGCAGTTGACAAAATTTTGGAAGCAGCAAAACCATCAAGAAAAGGTATTATGAATAAAGATTAAATCAGACTGTGTCAGACACACACAGAATCATAATATATATCTGATGGAAAAGCAAATCAATTAACTGAACCAACAATTGATATTTACTAAGTTTAAAGTCCTGCATTTAAACAAAAACAAATTTAAAAATCATAAATCACACATATAGGTGAAGAGTGAAAAAAGTGGTAAACAAAAAACTGGGAAACAATAAAAGTTTACTATCTTTTGTCCATATTTTTTAAATACAAAATCTTTAAAAACTGAAAGTTTTGTGTTAACTGTGTCACTAAAATACATTTGGAAGAAAAAACTGACCTGAACTAACTGGAGAGTATTTATGGTCTGTTATTATCCACTTGTAGTAATCAATATTTCTGTAGCAGAACGTCTCAACATTGAGCTCAGGAGATGATGCTTTCCACAGTATATAAACATATATATGGATTGTATCAGATTCCTAAAATCTGAAAGATTCTGAGTTTTGAAACAACTTAACCTCAAGAGTTAGGATAAAGGTTCCAGGATTATATCAGACTGAAGAACGAGCAAATTCTCAAAAAAACAAAAACAAAGGAAATTTTGGTCAAAATAATGAAAGCATTATTCTGCAATCATGGAAAAATAAATGATGCTTTAACCTGCTGGGGCAACATGTAAACTATTCTAGCACTATAAGAAGAACATTAGATTTACTTGGTATCTAACCAAGTGTTTCGTACATTTTAGACATTAGATAGATATTTGTTTGAATTAATGAAAGAATGATTATAATGCATCATTCAGAAGCACAAATGCATTGATTTATCCAAACTCAAAGATTTTCTATTCCCAATTCATTATTCTGGCTTGAATCCCCAACCTCCAGACTATTTTTCAAGCCACATATCACTGTTCTTGGCTATCTCGGAGATTTTGCTCATGATGCTTCACCTGTGGAAATGCTCATTCCACCTAGCTCCACCTGATGAAACCTAATGCATTTTCAAAGATAGCAGGCCTCTATTTTTGATGAAACATTCCCAGATTCCTCCAGGAAGAGTTAATGTCTCTTCCTCCATGTACTCAAGAGTCCTTGATGTTTATCTACATATGGCTTAGATCATGTTCTGGAATAAATTTTATTTTTGTGTGTATCCCAAAGTTTAGATTTCTTAAGGGCAAAGGCCATTATCTGTACCCCTCAATATTACCAGATGCTATTACTTGTGCATATTTATTATCTATAAGTTAGTGAATTAAGTCAAAATTAGTACAAATAAGAAAAGGCCATAAAACTAAATTTTAGTCATGAGAGGAATCATAAAGGAATATAGAAGGTTGCTGACAAGAGTGTTGGAACCACTCTTGTTTTTGCTAGTACATCTTCAGTGCTACCACTATACCCAACACTTAAAATGTTGAAAATTAATGTCTAAGCTGGGGGACAGAAAACTAAGATGATGCATGAAAACAATTTTAAAACGTATAAAGTGAAAGTCTAGCATATTGAAGAAGAGAGTTGTTATATGTTGTTTGAGAAGCAGAACTCTAGATTATGCATTAATTTAAACAGAGGCACAAACTTCATTAAATACAAGAACTTTGTATTAACCACAGTGGTTTGGTAATGAAAGAGCCTGCTTCACAAACCACCTAATTCTCTCTACCTATGGTCACAGCAAAGGGTAAATGATCTGTTGGGAATGGTCCAGGAATATTTTCTCAAATTGGATTTCTAAATGGTTGAACTCAGATGTTTTAAAAATTATCTCCATCTCATAGAAGTAAAATCTTAAGATTTAGATGTTTTGATAGTTTAAACACCACGCTAGAATCATATAACACTAAATAAAGCTTGGCACTGAAAATATTAATCTCATCAATTATTTCATCCTTAAAAGAATAATCTAGCTTTTCCCCAACAGATCCCAGGTACAAACCTCATCTCCTTCCTGAGGTCGCATCAAGGAAACTCGGTCATACTGCCTCCGCAACAAAGCCCAGAGCGCATCCAGCCGACCCTAAAGGGAAACATGAGCTGTCAATCTCTGGGAAATGTACTCAACCTCTGCTTGCTAGATAAATGAGCTAAAATGAAGAAGATAAAGTCTTTTCCTCTACTCTCATTTCTTTCATTAACTAAATGAATAAATAACAAAAACGGTGTTTCTTGTTACTGAGAAATGACTCAGTTGTTAGGAGGTGACTTGAATGTCTGCTGTTTGATATACCTTGGTCCTCCTTCAGGGAGACTAAAAGGATTACACTTTTGGAATTGCAGTTAAATCCCACAAAGTCTGAACAGTCACCTTAATTGGCGTGTACCACTTGGTCTGAGGAGGCTGGTGTGTGGGTTTGGATCGAGGTGGTCTGGGTCTGACGGGTTCCTCTGGTTCTTCAGGAAGGGTTACCACAGCATTTTTGGCTTTCTCTAGCCTTGCACCTTCTTCTGTAGATCCTTTATCACCCCAACGAACCTTTAAAACAAAGGGAAATATTGCTATCAGACATACAGTGGCCCAGGAGAACAGACTCTTGTTCAGTTGGTTCTTGGCTCAACACCTCAGAGTCAAAAGATGAGTAGGTAACCTAACTCCAAATTCCTCTTCTTCTGAGATTTAACAGGTTTTTCACTACTCCTTATGTATTTAATATCAAGATCCTAGAAATAAAGACCCTTTATAAAAATTTGGCATCAACTAAATTTGATACAACCATTTCTCCATTATTTCAAATAAGGAGTTAATTTGTATTTTACAACAGAAATGTGTAATTCTATTCTCTAGGTATGTTCTCCTTCTAGCTAAACACACACCCCTATATACTGATGACAATGGTTGAAATAGATGGTAATCATGATGATAATTAGCATTTATTGAATAATCATCATGTGCCAAGCTGCATTTAATCCATACAAAAAATGCTATGAGGTAGATACTGTGTTTTTTGCTTCCCATGGGGGAAACAAAGATATACAAAGGTTAAGTGATGAGCCCAAAGCCACACAGTAAGTAGCAAGACAGGGCTTTGAACATGTTAGTCTGAAGTGGACAAGATGTTTCAACTAGGTTCGAATTTTACAAATATATTTTATAAAAGGAGTTAATTTTTCCTTTCAAAGTTTCCATCAAGTTTGACTAAGGACAAAGGTATGATTAAACTTTTGCCTTTGAAAGTAAAACTAATAATATGTGTTTTATCTTCACTTTGTAAAGCAGCTGTCAGTCTTCAGTTCCTCTGCTCATATGCATATGGTTATTTGACATAGATATACATTTTTCATTAAGGAAGACAAATCTGAAAAGACTCTGAAGAGAAGAATTCAGAGACATTAGAGATTTCCACAAATTTGGGGGAATTCCTTTCTCTGAAAACCCTGGACACTGAAAAAAAAACTGCATGGTCAAATTATGTTTTCTCTATTTTTCTATGAAAAGTGGCTAAATCTGAGCCAATTTTTTTCCACGTGTGGGCATGTGAAGAGGATGCAGCCCCTGCAGGAAGGTTTTGTTCATCCAAGGGCAGCAGAGAAGTCTAAAAAGCAAGGGTGTTACCAAAGAAGACAAAAATAAGTGAAGCTCTAAACAGAAACAGGAAGGCCTGTCCTGGGCATGCAGTGAGTCACCAGTGTTAAGTCATTTACACAAAGAAAAAATGATTAATAAGCTTTTTAAAAGCATTCTAATGACCTGAATTAGTGGACAGGAATACAGATGATTACTGTTCATAGAAAGATCTATTCATAGCTTTGTGATAAGGCTTACTTAGATGTTTTTACCTTTTTTTAACTACAATTTTAGAATAGGTTTTCAATTTCAAGTGGACCCTGTTGAGTCATTAAAATGTATCTGTATCTTTCAGTGTGATCAGTGGTACTAGAATGTTCTTTATGAGGTTGTTAAAATTGTTTTAAACACCATTAAACCTTTAGAGCTAGATAGTTGGCTTTCTTTCCAGAGAAATGACCTTCTCTTTCAAATCAGTGTCTTCACCTAGAGTAATTAAAACTTTAAAAATCTTTAGATATATCTAAATTGAACTAAAAAATTCTAAAACCAGGACCCATCTCCTGCAGTTGTAAAGTCTCTATTCTAAGGGGGAAAAAAAAGAGATACAGTCAAATAATATCATAACACAGAGAAGTAATTCGGAGTAGAAGTATAAGTAGGTAAAATTTAGGACCATTCAGAAGTTATAGATTTTTAACTTAGATTTTAACTAGTGCAGCATTCACAGTTGCTATCACAGAGGTAATGGTAATTGTATCCTTCCTCTAAGTAACACTGGCACCATTCTCAGATAAAGAACAGAAGACAGTTGAACATGAGTTCTCGCCCAACATGGCATTTCTAAGGACTCAACTATTAAACAACTAAATGTACGATACTAGGCTGGTGGAAAAGTCCATTTTACAACATCTTATGGAAAAAACTGAATGAACGTTTTGGCCAACCCAATATATAGTTGTTGTTGCTATTGTTTAGTCACTAAATTGCGTCCAATTCTTTTGCGACCCATGGACTGTAGCCTGCCAAGCGCCTCTGTCCATGGGATTTTCCAGGCAAGAATACTGGAGTGGCTTGCTGTTTCCTTCTCCAGGGAATCTTCCCGAGCCAGGGATTGAACCCATGTCTCCTGCACTGGCAGGCAGATTCTTTACCTCTGAGGCACCAGGGAAGCCCCCATTATAGTTGCTGAGGTCTAAAATAAACACATTACATAAATCCATTATTCTTAGCTCATCATAGCTGTTTCATCATTATCACCATCACCACAAACAACAGCTCGATCAATTCTCACTCAGCTTCAAATTCTAAAGCTAGGAAACACTATATAGAGTTTTCCTTAAACTCTTAAAAACAATTAAATATATATACACACTTATATATATAAATTTTAATATTTTAGTTTGACCACATTGAGATAGCCAAAAAGGATAAGAGAATAATAAGAACAGGTTGCTAAAGGCAGCCTTGACAAAATTGATATATTTGACTTTTGACTATTTAAAAAAAAGTGCAAGTTTGATAGCTATATGTTTCCAATTCTATTTGGTTTTCATGATAAACAATGAAATTCCATAATTTCTGAGCATATTCAGAGGTTGTATCATAAAGGAGCAATTTCAGAACTGAGAAAAGAAACAAAAACAGTTTCCTGCTGCACTGCCAGAAACACACATGTGAAGTCATCAGGTACCGTGGATCAGTTGTTCTAACAGCTGTTATTAACATCAGTTCAGCTCCAGCTTTCTGCAAATTGCCATTACCACAGTGTTTAAATATTTAATGTAAAGGAGAAGGAAGAAAGACTTTCTACTAAAATTCCTATACTGGCTTAAAATAACATTTAGTTACAAAGACTTATTTTTTAATTCAGATGTACCATGATTTCTATAATTCCATTTACTTTCCCTTTACGGTATTTATTTTTTAAAGAAAATACTTCCCAGATCTAAATAGGCATGATTTTAAAACAAGGTATGTTTTCTATTTTTCCTCTCCAAGTTTAAATAAATTCATGCTTAAAAAAGTCTAATGGTGCTTAATTCTCAGTATATTTTTATTGTGTATTTTTACATATTGTGTTTCCCCTTTGTGATGCCCATATTTACTTGCTCATTTTTTCCATCATCCCATCCTTAGTTCCACCTCACTGATAGACTAGTCCATAAAATATAGCCAAAATTAACCATGGTTAGGGAACTTCCCCGGTGGTCCACTGGTTAAGACTTTGCCTTCCAATGCAGGGGGAGTGGATTTGATCCCTGGTCCGGGAAGTTAAGATCCCACATGCCTCACAGCCAAAAAAACCAAAATGTAAAATAGAAACAAACAATATTGTTTCGAAAAACCAAAATGTAAAACAAATTGAACAAATTTAATAAAGACTTTTAAAATGGTCCACATTAAAGAAAAAACTTTAGAAAAATTATCTGTGACTAAAATGGACTCTTAGTAAATGAGTCCTTCTCATAAATTTTCTTCAGCTAAAAAGGAAGGGCAATGTAATTTCATATCAATTAAGTAAAAACTAAAACACAAATAAATAAATTTCAATTCAACTAAATTTTAAATAAAAGAGTCAATAACTCTTAAAACTTGAAATGCGAGTTACTCAAGGACGTTCATGGCCCCATGGCTTTCCTGACCATATTCCAATAATACGCCTTTTAACTTGGAGCCCATTCAGGAGCTCATGCATATGCTTTGCTTTTCTGTAGAAAGAGATTCCTAATCTCTGGAATACTAGAATATTGGAGAAACAAAAATCTGCCACAATTCCTCATGTTTTCAATAAGAACAAATATACCAGGTGGCTCAGATGGTGAAGGACCACCTGCAATGCAGGAGACCTGGATTTCATCGCTGGGTTGAGAAGATCCCCTGGAGAAGGGAGTGGCTACCGACTTCAGTGCTCTTGCCTGGAGAATCCCATAGACAGAGCTGCCCGGCGGGCTACAGTCCACAGGGTCGCAAAGAGCCGGACACGACTGAGCAACGGAGCACACATGCAATGTATTTGATCCCCACTGTCACGTGGTATTTTATATGTGTGGATTTCACAATGGAATTAGGCTTATTATTCTGATATAAATTAGTACATGCTCACTGACAAATAGGTCATGAACAAGCAGGGAAATACGTAACACAAACTGAAAATCACTTCACTCAAAGAAATCTACTAACACGTTGTGCCCATTCCTGTCTAACCGTTTTCCCCCTGCATACATCTTCTTATATACATGCTGTGTCAGGATCTGTGTTTAATAATAAAGTCATGATATCAATGACAAAATCCCTCCAACTGCTCCCTTGGGTGGGAGGCTGGCTTATCTCTGCCACGTTAAGGGGTCAGTGCTGACAGGGCTTGCTTATTATTAATTATTCCATCACATTGAAAAATATGTCTGTGGTGATAAGAAGACCTCATTTGATGGTTAAGATATAATATTTAAGTTTTATTTTAATCCACACTTTTTGCCAGTCTAAAAATTTAATACAGTCTATAAATGATATTTAATATTAATTATGATTATTCATAAGTGGCAACTAAAACCTATTTTTTAAAAGCCTTAAAGGCACTTCCTCTACATTTGTGATAGGGTCATATCCACTCTACTCAATATTTTAACATTTTTTCCTCCCCAAACAGTACTTAACTACTGACTCTTCAAAGACAAGCATTGTTGCAACTTTAAGTAGTTGGCTTCTTCAAAGTTGATGTTCCCTGTCATCATTTTTTCCAAAACAGTGAGGAAAATTCCTAATTTTGTTTTGCCCTTTAGAATTCATGAGTCTTATCAATGCAATCCATTGGCTAATGAAGTCAGTTCTTGCACAGTTTTGAAATGGCTAGAATTATTCCATGGAAAAAAACTGCCCAAAAAAATACCACATGTTAAGAAATACTGGATGGTATTAGGAAATTGAGCTGTGAAAAGTAGTTTCCATGGCTTAATAGTTCTAAAAATATATATTCCAGATTAGCAGGGTCTATTTTTTTTAAGATATACCAACCTCCATTCTTTTAATTCCTCCAACACCTCGACCACCATAATAGGAAGCATCTACGGTTGGCCATTTCTTGGTAGGCAGAGGTTCTTCTTCCTCCTATGCAGATACAAGTTTTTAAAAATGTGTTTAATTAATTTCTTAAAATGTTACTTAAGTAAGAACTGGCTCACATTTATATATTTTTCTGAATAATACCACTGGTATGGAAGAAATACAGTAAAAATTACACATAGCACATGTGTATGTACTTCTGCTTACATGTATAAATTTCGTGAAGTTCCACAGAATATAAGGGCTCCTTTCATTCCACAATTCATGGAATCTACCTTATTTTGCTAGGCTACCAGAAGTTGCTCCTTAACTATGAACTTCATTTGTTTTTTCCAGATTTATTCATCATTTCATATGTAAAAAGATAAAACATTACAATTAGGACCACATTTGAATGATCATTTAAAGTCTCAACCTATGTGTAAATTTGAGCCCTGTAAAATTGGTACTAAAAAGGTAGTTGAGAAGCTTTGAAAATGCACAATGCCATGTTTCTTCTTGCTAACATAATATTACTAGTATATGCCATATACTAGTAATATAATATTTAATATATACTATATTAATGGTATAGTAATACAGCATATAGCAGTAATATAAAAGTAATAATAATTTTAAAGAAAGTAATAATATCTTTAAACTGCAAGCCTGGATCTTCCAACTTTTTGTAAATAAGGTCAGTAACAGCATATTATTCATATATTGGTATAAAAGTAAATTAAATCTCTATGTACTATTGCTCCTGATGGCCAGTCTATGTTTATCAATGTATGAAGGTCCCATCTTCTAACATGTAAAAGAAACCACAGGTTTGAAAAATAACAAGTAACTTTCATAAACTCAAAAGTCAGTATATCAGAGTTATCTAACAACAACAACGTAATTGATTAGATCTGGGCATAATATCTAAATACAAAAAAAAAAATACCCACATCACTTATTAAGCACTCATTTACCTCTTTTGGTGCAGAAGGTGGTGGTGGAGGAGGATCCTTGATAACCTGTACCAAAAAAAAAAATTAAATGTAGGAACTTCAGTGGCATCGAGAGGAGACAATAAGAATGTACAAAAATAATTAGATTAGTAAAATACTGTGGTGGTGCCAAAGATGTCCCTGATCAACTTAGCTTCTCAATACTTATGCCCCTATCGCCCTTTTAAACTAGGTTTTGTTAATTAGCTTTTGAGTAACTAGCAACTACTAGTAGTTTTTTTTTAACTAACTAGCTAACCAACCAGCACATTCACTCACTTTATCTTTATGATGTAGATACATTATAGCTACATTTTTCAGGCAAATAACAAGAAAACTGTCAAATACCTTGTCTAGGTGTTTCTTCTAATGTTAAAATGCAAACATTTTTCACTAGATTACAGCTTGTTCCCTCAAATGAAGAGGGTATTTACTAGCAAACTCTTCCTGCTGTGACTCACTGATTCTTTTCAAATTGACATATAAAAATCAGCTTGCATTGGATTAGATAAGGGAAATGAACATACTCTCTTTCCCCACCTTTTTTTTTTCTAGAAACAAATCAACCTTTGAGCTAAGATTCCTTTCCTGTGAATCATTACTCAGTAGATTATTTCATCAAGTCTGATATGATTAATTCTTTATGTGAGAGGAATATAAACTGAAATCTGATTTAAATGATCTTCACTGGTATTGGGGTATCTGGACTTTCATACCATCCTGGTAGAAAATGACTGACCAAGTGCCAATGGCTTCTGATAATTCGGGTACACATCCAAGTCTGTATACTAAGAAGGAAAACTTTGAAAATATAACTGCTTCGCTTCATTTAAGGTCAAATGTTTCAATTCTGTTATTAGATGCTTAAAATTTTAAAAGAGTGGCTTTGAAAATGAATATCATCAAAGAATTCTTTTAGTGTACCGGTATCTTCCTATTATCATGAATATGTTTTTATTTGTTTTTTAAACTTTTTATTTTGTATTGGGGTATAGCCAGTTAACAAGCAATGTTATCATAGTTTCAGGCGAACAGTGAAGGGACTCAATCATGCATATACATGTATCCATTTCCCCCCAAACTCTTCTCCCATGCAGGCTGCCACATAACATTAAGGAGAGTTCCATGTGCTGTACAGTAGGTCCTTGTTGGTTATCCAATTTAAATATAGCAATGCGTACATGGTCCATCTCAAACTCCCTAACTATCCCTGAATGTGTTTTTTACAGACTGCTTATAGTTTAAAGATATATACCAAATCACTTCCAGGTTAATGATATAATTCTGATATTTTCACCAAAATAATTAGAGGTGGGAAGTGAATAGGGTTACAGATGAAATAAGATTAGCCATAATTGAGAATCATTCAAGGTGTGTGAAGAAGACATGAAGGATTCATTATTTTACTCTTTCTCTTTGCATATGTTTGAAATTTTCCATAATGAAAGGTTTTTAAAAAATATTTAGAGAACTGACTCATAATCTTTTTTATGTATATTACTTTCATCATTCTAATTTTGGTTTAGATCTAAATCTCAGGAAGAAAAAAAAACAGGCAGTAACCACAATCACATGGATATAACTGGACAGTAATTTAATCTGATTGAATCTCTAATTCATCATAGCATTTGAATGCTACAAGAAATGCTGTTGTAATTTTTACTTAACCCTTTTATTATCCAAGTTCATTTTATCAATAAACATAAAATTCCAGTTCTTTTTGGTAATAACAAAGGATAGAAATCTGTGAATTTTGAGATTTAGCCCAGAAATAAATGCCAAGAGAGGATAAAGATTTAAAATAATACTGTAGTAAAATTAGACAAAGGTTATCATGCTACAGGTGTATTTCCTTTATAAAAAGGAAGCACTCCACTTATTTGCAGGGCAGGAATAGCGATGCAAATGTAGAGAATAGATACGTGGACAAGGTGAGGGGAAAGGAGAGAGTGGGATGAACAGAGAGTGGCACTGGCATATATAACTAGCATGCGGAAAATAGACAGCTAGTGGGAAACCGCACAGGGAGCTAAGCCCATTGCTCTGTGATGACCTAGCGGGGGTGGGAGGGGAGTGGAGGGTGGACGGGAAGCTCAAGAGAAAGGGGGTATATGTGTACAAACAGCGGACTCACTTTGCTGTACAGAAGAAACTAGCACAACACTGTCAAGCACGTATACTTCAATAATCAAATTAAAAAATAAAATTACAGTAATCTAGAAAATAAATGAATAAAAGTATGGGAAATCGAAAAAAAGAAGCACGCGGGTCATTATCAACGTGCATGTCCAAAATAAGTGAAAAGCAGATCAGTCAATATTTCACACTCAACAGAGTCAAAACCAACCTACTTACCTTCATTTATATTCTTCTTCCTGTCTTCCCTATTTCTTTCAAGTAAACCATTTTCTTGAAAATTGCAGCCTTAAAATTTTCTCATAATCTATAATTTATTCTCACCTCTGAATGACTTCACCAAATCATGTACCATGGCCAACAGACTTTTTGAAATATTCCAGTCTCTGCAGTGTGTATGTAATGTATGCATCTGTCTCTTCCCACATTCCTATCTTTTCTTCTCCTTTCCCCACCATGAATTCCCCAGTCTTCTCAAAGTAGTTCAGATTTCCTTAATATGCACGGTTGCCTGTTTGTTCTCCCCTAGCACTGATCACAACTGATAATTTTCTCCAATTCCAAAACACCGTAACTTCTGTGAGGATGAATTTTATGCCTGCTTTGTTCCTGATTATATTCCCAGAACTTAGCAAAGTGTCTAGCAGAAAAGAAGAGAAGAAAGAAAGTTAGAAAGAGAGAAAAAGGAGTAAGGCAGGAAAAAGAAAAGAAGATGGAAGAGAGAAGGAGGAAGGAAGAAGGGAAGAAAGGAAGCAAGGAAGGAGGAAAGGGAGGGAGGGAAGGAGAGAGGAGAGGAGGAAGGAAGGAGGGAGGAAAAGGAAGGAAGCGAGGGGAAAGGAAGGAGGGAGGGCAGGAGGAGAGGAAGATGACAGGAAGAAGCAAGGATTCTTTACATTCCATTCCCATTCAGTTCAGTTCAGTTCAGTCACTCAGTCGTGTCCAACTCTTTGCAACATCATGGACTGCAGCACGCCAGGCTTCCCTGTCCATCACCAACTCTCACAGCCTACTCAAACTCATGTCCATTGAGTCGGTGATGCCATTCAACCATCTCATCCTCTGTCGTCCCCTTCTCCTCCAGCCTTCAATCTTCCCCAGCATCATCAGGGTCTTTTCCAATGAGTCAGTTCTTCGCATCAAGTGGCCAAAGTATTGGAGCTTCAGCTTCAGCATCAGTCCTTGCAATGAATATTCAGGACCGATTTCCTTTAGGATGGTCTGGTTGGATCTCCTTGCAGTCCAAGGGACTCTCAAGAGTCTTCTCCAGCACCAGAGTTCAAAAGTATTAATTCTTCAGTGCTCAGCTTTCTTTATAATCCAACTCTCACATCCATTCCCATTATCACTACCTAAAATCATGAACTTGAGAGTCTTTGGACCTTAAAAATATCTAGTACAATATTTTTCAACTTCCCCAATGCATCCAACCAGAACCACATTATTCTGAAAAATCCCCACCTAGTTATCATCCAACTATGTCTGAATTCCTGCAATAAAGAGAAATTCACTACTTCACTAAGCAATTCATTCCACTGGCAAGGAACCCACATCATTTGAAAAATTTTCCCCTAAATGAAGCCAAAGCCTCCCTCTTCATAGTTTCCACTTTTTAGTACTGATCCTATAGTGTGAAATGTATACACACACACAGACAACTATTTTTAATTCCATAAGAGAAGGTTTCCTGTTTTTGAATACTAACCATATATCATCTGAGAGCTAAACCTCACAATCATTTTTCATATAACGATCTGAGATATTGGGTGATCTTGGTCAGTTTCTTTGGCATGTATTCATTTGTACAATATCTCAAAGTGTAGATTCTAGAACTGATAAATAGCATTTTAAGTGTGGCCAAGCCATTAATTAAAGGCATGGTACTCAGAAAAACCAGATGCACCCCTGGCAGTCCTCACCTTCATTCCATGCATTTTAATTAATAACATGTTGAAAACTAGGATTGATCTATAATTACCATAGCTTTATTTTGGCATTAATGTCTACATGCTTTGCGTGTGTGTGTGTGTGCAAAGTCGCTTTAGTCGTGTCTGACTCTTTGCAACCCTATGAACGGCAGCCTGCCAGGCTCCTCTGTCCATGGGATTCTCCAAGCAAGCATACTGTAGTGGATTGCCATGCCCTCCTCCAGAGGATCTTCCCGATACAGGGATCGAACCAGTGTCTCATTATGTCTCCTGCACTGGCAGGCAGGTCCTTTACCACCGGAGCCACTTGGGAAGCCCCTACATGTTTTACTTGTAGCTAAATTACACATGCAGCTTGCTTCTCTATCTCTAACTCATCCTTCATTCTAATCTATGCAGCCAGGTCAATATTTTTCTAAGCTTGTTGTTGTTTGCCGCTCAGGCTCTAAGTTGTGTCCGACTCTTTGCAGCCCCATGGACTGCTCCTCTGTCCTTCACCATCTCCCAGAGTTTGCTTAGATTCATGTCCATTGAGTCAGTGCTGCTATTCAACCATCTCATCCTCTGCTGCCCTCTTCTCCTCTCGCCCTCAATCTTTCCCAGCATCAGGGTCTTTTCCAGTGAGTCAGTTCTTCACGTCAGGTGGCCAAAGTATTTGAGCTTCAGCTTCAGCATCAGTCCTTATAATGAATATTCAGGGTTGACTTCCTTTAGAATTGATTAGTTTGATCTTCTTGCAGTCCAAGGGACTCTCAAGAAGCTTAACTGATTGCAATAGAAGCATAATTGATCATTCCTCTAGTCAAAATGGATCAAATGTTCCAGTGACCACAACTGAAGTCAAGGAATGACTGAATTTCTGCAGGAACCTCACACATGATGCTTCCACTCAGTTTTGCAAATTATCCTAAAGTGCTCTAGAGTTCTTTCACTAGGAAGAGGCTACGGTACCTCCTTCATTCCAGT